CATCACCCAGGAGCGCTACGAGCAGCTCAAGAAGGAGCGTACATTCCACAAGTTCACGTACCGTGGACTTGAGATTGACCCACTGTTGGCCCTCTCCGAGGAGGAGTTCAAGACCCTGGTTCATGCTCGCGCCCGTCGTCACATGAACCGCCACGCTGACATTCGTGCTCCCGTGCTGCTGAAGCGCCTGCGCGAGGCGAAGAAGGACGTGAGGGCTGGTGAGAAGCCAAGGGCTGTGAAGACGCACCTTCGTGATGTTGTCATCACACCCGAAATGGTGGGCTCCGTGGTCGGTATCTACAACGGCCGTCAGTTCAACGCGGTGGAGATTAAGGGTGAGATGATTGGACACTACCTTGGCGAGTTCTCCATGACGTACAAGCCCGTCATGCACGGTCGTCCTGGTGTTGGTGCCACGCACTCCTCTCGTTTCATTCCTCTCAAGTAGAGTGGAAGCGGAGGGAGAAGGAAATTGGGATGGGATGCGTGTTTTGTTTTGTTTTGTTTTGTTTTGTTTTTATTATTTGGTTGCGGTATTATTGACCAATTTAGTTTATATATATATATGTGTGTGTGTGTGTGTGGAATTGTCTTATAACATGTCTGTTTGTCTGTTTGATTGGTTGGTGGGTGTTGTTGGGTTTGCGACACAAATTAACAATAATAAAAAAGGTGTCAAATAGTCCAGTTGAGAAAATGCCAAAGAAAGGTGGGACGAAGAGGGTTTACGATTTATCTGATGAAAAACTTGATGCTTTAGTTGAAGCAATTGAGGGTGATTTAACAGTAAATCAAAAAAAGGCTTCAAAAAAGGGAATGACAAAAAAACAATCTTTGGATCTTAGTGAAAGGAAGGTAAATCATGCTATTTGTAAGGTACAAGATACTACAAGTGGGATGTCTTTTAACGAGGAAGAGTTGAGAATGGCCCTCTATGCTCAACGTATGTTGCAGGAAAAGGCCATCAAGGATGCTCAATACATCAATGTTGTGGTGCCTTTAAAGGAAGATCAAACTAAATGGCAGGAAGTGGCACCGAAAAAATACATTCGTTATGAGCAATTTGATGGGAGCCAAGATGCAATGGATTTTGTTGTTCGCCTTTTTACAAAGGAGCTCACGGAACCCTATAGCAGCTTTACATATGAATACTTTGTCTTTGGATGGCCTGATTTGACAGTGATTGCATATGGAATTGAAAGTGAGACAACTCCGGACTCGTCTGTTAAAGGGGAACGAGTGGGGGCGGTGGTTTCCCGAGTAACGCGAAAAGGACCTGGTCGTCCGCTGAGAGGTTATGTGGCGATGTTTGCCGTAGTACCGGAATTTCGTGGATTTCGGCTGGGAAGCCGTTTGGTAGCTCTTACTATTTCTTTGATGAGAGAGAAGGAATGTGAAGAGGTGTATTTGGAAACACCTTTAACGAATGCCCGTGCACTCTCACTTTACTTGAGCCTGGGTTTTGTGAAGACGAAGTTTCTGCCAAGGTACTATCTTGATCAATCTGATGCTGTTCGTCTCAAACTGTGGCTTAACAATGCCACATATTCTCACGGAGGAGTCGTTGGAGCAGACGAAACGCGTGAAATTGCTTAGATGCTAATAGTTATTTTTGTTTGGGTGGTTAATTCGATTGCCCCTCTGATTATTTGTGAGGGCTGATAACAACAACAAAGAGGACGTCTTTATTTGGGGAGTGGATAGGTGGAATAGTACGTTTACAATGCATATATATATATATATATATATATGGTTTTTCCTTTCCTATTCATCCTGTATAAGACCCAATGAAAGGAGACGTGAATGAATTGCTATGACGGAGAGAATCTGAATGAAGAACGGCAATATATTTGTTTAACCTCGACAATGATAACACAAAGGAAACACAAGTACATACACACAAAAAAAACAAAAAAAACAAAAACAAGGAAGAATAAGAAAGAAAGAACAACAACAACAACAACAACAACGAAAAACAAAGGCATAAGAATTGATCTTCTTATTGTTTATGTTTATTTTGCCCGATGCCGTTGGCGAAGGCCCTGAGTCACTCAGATTATGTTGTCGTCCTCCGTTTTTGGTTCTATCTGGGTTATTATTATTATTATTATCAATATTGTTGTTCTTCTTATTTCGGGATAAACTTATATCTGTATTTTAATGTTATTATTATTATGAGTTGCATCGTCATGATCATTATGTTTTTGTTTTATTTTATTTGTTGGTTATTTCTTCTCTTTTTTTTTTTTTGTTGTTGTTGCCGCTTTATTTACTTCCCGTACTGTTTAAAGATTATACTACAATGACAACTTTACGTCTACCTTTGCTGGGTGCTTTAGATAATGGAAGTGAAGGGGCTGTTGTTCCAACAGGTACCAAAGTGGCTTCCGAAGTTCGGGTGGGCAGAGCAGCACGGTTAGGCGACTTAAACTCTAGTAATCAGGTAGCCTTCTCGCCTAGTAGTCAGGATGAAGTCAAAACGAATTTTTCATTTGTCTCGCGAATCAGTAAGAACATTGAAAAAGTGGATGCTACTGCAGTTTCTCGCAGTAAAATGCTTAGTCCTTCCCTCAAGGAAAAAGCTGTTACGCGCAAAGACAAAATTAAACGAATCGAATCGTTCATGGCTGTAAGCTGCGCAGGGCATGTACCAGAACAGCAGCGATGGGCAAATATACGGAAGGTTCTGGATGATTTGGGTCTTCTTGAGCCCTCGCTTTCTGGCATCATTTTATCACTACGACGATATTTGAAGGATTTATTAACGGAGACGGAAAGTGTACAGGAGTCGCTGCGATCCGAAATACGAAATGTAGAAGAACGCACCTTCAAAAAATGTGAAGATTTTCTTGAAAGTCGAGTTCTTCAAGTTTTGCGTGATAAGAGAAAGGCAGAGGCAACGGCGAAGCATTTGCGTGAGGAAGTGCTCAAATTGAGAAGAGAACGAGATGATGATCTTATGAAGGCAAAGGAAGATGTCATGATACGCTTAAATGATTGTGAAAGAAAAGAGGATGAATTTCGCTTATTTCGAACGCTTATTGCATCTGTTTTCAAAACGAATGAGGGTCTTGTGAATCGTATAGATGACTTGGAGGCACTGCTTCGAAAGCATCGCATTGAGGTTCCACGGGTGAACGAGGATTTATATGCGTATAGTAAACCAAAAGGTGAAACTTCGGCCCCCCAGCATGTTACTGACGAGGTGAAGAAGATACGAGATCAGGTATCTCTGGAGTTTATGAAGGCATCAAGAGAAGAAATGAATCTTGCCCGTCTTTCGCTTCAACGAGAACTGTTAAATAATGCCTTCGATGATAGAACAGCATATCGACTTCAGGTAAACGGCCTGCGTAATGAAAATTTGTCTTTACAAACACAAATTGATGCATTACAAAATCAAGTTTTAGGTCTTGAAAAATATATTCATGAAAAACGCTTTGCGTCTTCAGGAGGGGATAGTGATGAGGTTCCACTAACACCAAGACCGAGGGATGTACCATTTGCCATTCAGACGGATCTTGGAATTGACTTGAGGAACAGTACGGCGCAGATTGTAGCAGAGCTTGCGGCGGTGGGAGCAAATTTAAAGCATCAATTAAATTCAGCTGTTATGACGCTTCGTCAGTTAAGTTCAGCAGTGGAATGGATGGAAGATGAAACTATGCTGAAAATTGCGGATGATACAAACACTCGGGGAGTTATACCAACCTTTCCAACTTCAGCATGGGCAACTATTCCTCATTTTTTGCGTACCCATGTTGGACCAGAGGTTACTAATCTTCGATGGACTGAAACAGGGATAGCCTTCTTATTATCTGTTTTTTTTTCTAATTATGACTCATTGCGGACAGCGTGTCGCTCTGTCCGTGACTCAAAGATGCTTTACCCTCGTCAATATCAACTATTCGAACGTTGTCAGCATTTGCTGGTGCGATTAGATGCCTCGTTGGATGAGACCCAAAGAGACGAGAACAATGTTCCTTTTGGTTATGTGGTGTCCCATTTTGTTTCCACCATGCTCGTGATGCGTACGGAAGACTCACCCTATTCTGGGTTACTCCAACCTGGGACTCTCAATCCATCTTATCCAAGTGGTGGGAAGGTGACTCCTGTTGAAATGGAGTTTGGGAAATACAGCTATAATATATGGTATGCTGCTCAAAGATACAAGGACCAACAACCATTGTGTCGATTATTTGTGGATGTGGTGGATGGAAGATTACCAGTAAAAATTTTTGAAGTTACGAGGCATGTACTACGTGTTGTGGAGAATCGTATTCGTAAATTTGACGTAGATGGAAGTGGTTTATTCACCTATAATAAGTTGGTGAGCTCTGTACTGAAACTTGTTGCAGATATGGATGCACAAGTTGGGCGTTGTGCAATTCTTGCAGTAACGGAAACGTTTCAAGCGAATCAAGCTCCTTTAATAGGGGGAAGAGTATTTATTTCATCTATCTTGGCAGATGAAACATGTGTGGAAAAGAATGCTATTTCTTGGAATCAGAGCCGTCGTTCATTTGCGGATTCACGCTTTCAAAAGAGTCGTGGAAGTGAAGAACCTCAAGGTGCTTCTGTTTTGACCCGTTTTTGGCGCCGCCTGGTCATTCAGCGCTACGAAAGGGGATACCGTCTCATGGAGAGGATTCTCGGGCCACTGGTGGTAGAAAGTCAGGTAGTCGTTGGAGTCTTTCTGCTACCTATTCCAAGTGCGTTGGAAGCCGTGAGGAAGTTTGATAGCCAATGCGGAACCATGACGGAGGAGGAGTTCAACACGAATTTTCCTATGTTTCCAGAGAACAAGGTTTCAGGTGAGGGGAATTGGAACCTCTTGTCGGAGACGCAGCAAGTCCCCCCACTCCTCACCAATGAATACGCAAACCTTTTGGCCGGACGTAAACCCACCCTTCGAGAGGGTAAAGGTATTCTGATGGAGGGACTTTTAAGGACCACATTGGAAGGCGTGCCTGTAATCAGTCGTTCGATGCACTTTCCTACGCATGAAAAGGAGGGGTCAGAAACGGATGCAATAAGGACCCCCGTTGTTTCTGAGGATGAAACGTTAAAGAGTTCACCGGTAAGGACGGCGCTGGCGAGGAAAAATGGCATTCCGCGGGGTAAGCGAGCGAAGGCCAAAGCGGAGAGGAAGTCCAAGGCAGCGACGGCAAGGGTGGAGGAAAGTAGTAAGGCAAACGTCTCCACATCGTCTTTGCCGGAAATTATACCCTCTGCAATGATGATCAATGCTGACAAGGAGTTGGTGGAGTGGTATGGTTTTTGTGCAACCCTTCGGCAATCTCTTCTTAACTTTAATGAAACCATTTTTAACGATGGAAACCTCCAAGGAGAGGGAGTACAGTCTTCAAATAAAAATACCGCGTTGCCGGAACTTCACGCCGAAGAGTTATCTATATCCACACATTGATGTAAGACCATGTAAATGCCTTTTTTTTTGCTTTACTTTTTCCTCGCCCACTCATTCAAGCGTTTTTTTTTTCTGTCTTATTTTTATGAGTGCTTATTTTTTTTTTGTTTGTCGCACACCCAGTAACTCATTGTCTCTTGATGTGCGTAGCCCAACCTGTTTTATCCTGGGTTTATGGATTCCCTTTTTTGCCTTTTTTCTTTTCTTTTTTTATTTCGTTTTGGCGAATGCTCCTAATTCCCTTTTACTCCCTGTGTTACCACGCATAAAGACGGAAAGGAGTATGACGGCTAACATCACCCAGGAGCGCTACGAGCAGCTCAAGAAGGAGCGTACATTCCACAAGTTCACGTACCGTGGACTTGAGATTGACCCACTGTTGGCCCTCTCCGAGGAGGAGTTCAAGACCCTGGTTCATGCTCGCGCCCGTCGTCACATGAACCGCCACGCTGACATTCGTGCTCCCGTGCTGCTGAAGCGCCTGCGCGAGGCGAAGAAGGACGTGAGGGCTGGTGAGAAGCCAAGGGCTGTGAAGACGCACCTTCGTGATGTTGTCATCACACCCGAAATGGTGGGCTCCGTGGTCGGTATCTACAACGGCCGTCAGTTCAACGCGGTGGAGATTAAGGGTGAGATGATTGGACACTACCTTGGCGAGTTCTCCATGACGTACAAGCCCGTCATGCACGGTCGTCCTGGTGTTGGTGCCAC